GGACTGGGTGGTTTTGTGGCAGAGCTGGGGGTGGCTTTGGCCAACTGGGGGGATCCAGCCCCTTGTTCCAGGCAGCCGTTCACCAGCAGCACTGGGATGTCGGCTGCGGAGGTGAGGATGGAGGGGGGGCAGCTGCTCGCCTGTCCCTTCTGGGGCAGGGACGTGCTGGCCTTGGGGGAGCTGCCTGCCCTGGGCTGGGCTGGAGTGAGACACGATGCCAGGGGAAGGGGGGCAGGGGCTGCCCAGGGAGCTGGCGGGGGACGGGCAGGTGGCCGTGGGAGCGTCCGAGTCCTCATTGTGGAGTGAGTGAGTGCTGCTGCAAGAGGGAGACAGAGCAGAGATCAAAGGGTGTTCATACACAGAGCCCACCCCAGGGACAATGCCATCCCCACGGGGTATCAACTCCCAGCCTGAGGAATGAGGGACTTGGTGCCCCTTCCATCCCACCATCACCCCAAGGGTGGTTCACAGGCAGCATTTACCTTCCCAGGATGTAACTGGTGTCGGAGCCAGGGCTCGTGGAGAGCTGGGAGACCCAACTGCCCCTCTGCTGGGCCCTCACCACGTGCACAGGCTTCAGCAGGTTGTCAAAGCCCGGGGAGGTGCCGAGGGCCCTGGGGCTGTGCGTGGTGTCTGCGCGTCCCACCGAGCGCTGCTGGGGCACAGAGATGCTCTCAGACACGTTGCTGCAGCTCAGGGTGGCTGACTGGGGGCTCGAGGGTCCGGGTGGGCTCGAGAAAACCACACAGTCACTGGTGCTGTATTTGCCTCTGAGTCCTCCTTTTTGGGGCAGGAAGCTGTTGGCCTGGGGGGACCTGGAGAAGGGGGTGCCTGAAGCCCTGTAGTGTCTCAGGTCCTGTGGCTCTGTCTGGGGTCATCTCGATGTACTTGATGTCTGCAGGGAGAGAGAAGAGGTCATGAGTGATTCCACATTAGAGGTGGGTTGGTTAGCAAAGCTCTGTTGGGAACATGCGCCTGTTCTTCCTGCTATGAGTCTGGCTCTGGGGTACACACCCTGCAAGGCTGGGGGAGCCCAGCACTGCCTTTTGTTGAGACCCCACGAGGGCTGATTCCTCGCAGAGCCCAGACTGCAGCTCCCAGCAAAGGGGGTTACGTGCGGTCACGTCTGGCTGCTCAGACCCTCCTCGCCAGCATTACCCACTGGGGCCTGCCGAGACCTGCAGCCAGAGGTGGGGGTTCCCTCCAGCAGCAGCTCTGTTTGCACCTGACTCAAGAGAAAAACATCTGGCTGCTCTCCCCAGGAATGATGTCAGGGTCGGAGGGTGCCCAGGGCAGCAGGCACGTGGCCCTGCACACCTTGGGGGTGGCTGGGCAGAGGAGCAGGGGGATGTCACCTGGCCCCAGGTGCAGCTGGACATCCATCTGCACCATGGTGGATGGCAGAGGGAATTCATGTAATCCATGTGGGACAAGGCTCTTGGTCCACTATGGGACTGGCTGTGCTGGCAGCAAGCACAGAGCTCTGGACAGGGGAGAGCTGCTCCCTCTTCCCTTCTTCCATCCTGCACAATTCTCTCTAGAGAAGTAAATTCCAAGGCAGTTTCTGTGCCTGTGCCCTGCTGTGAATCTCCCTGCTCTTCCATTTGTGCTCAGATCAGGCCAGGCATCTTCAGCCCCTCTGCTTCCTGATATGGGAACACACCTGACAGAGCATTGCTTGTCCAAGACCCTCAGTGAAACCTCATGGCCAGGACAAGGGGTGCCTGGCTCCCCAGTGCACAGCAGGCTCTGGGTTTCTTGGAAGTTTCTGGCTGAGCTGGAAGAGGCCTTTTAGCAAGAGACACTCAGACTCAATGGAAGTGCTTGCAGGGATGGCAGATTCATCTCCTCCCTGGGGAGCTGCTCCCGTGGTTAATCACTCCCCTGCCAAAGGTGTGCACCTCCCTTCCAGCCTGGACGTGCCCAGCTCGGCTTTTAGTGCTTAGTTCTTGCCCTGCCATGGAGTTCAGGAAAGTTTCCCCTCTCAAAGGTGTTTCTTGGAGAGAGAAAAACCCTTTTGCTGCAGCAATGAAAGAGTTCTCTAAACAGCCCTGAGCTCCCTGGCCGTGGAGTTGGGCCTCGATGGACTTGTTGCTGGCCAGACAGAGCAGTCAGCTCCAGCCACGCACACAGACCCTGTTTACTGCAAGAAACAACCAGACCTCTGGGGCATAAAGCTGGATGAGCATGAAAAGCACAAGCCTGTACAAAAGTTACTTCCCAAGCCCCTTCTCCATGCCAATGCCAGCGCGGGATCAGAGCGGCACGGCCAGCAGAGAAACGCCGAGGAGGCTCCGGGTGGGATGGGAGGGCTGGTCCCAGTGGGGACACAGCTGGACCACGGTGGGATGGAGCCAGACCCACAGCCTTCCCCTCTACAGCCTCACTGCCAGCAGCAGCTCCTCCAGCACCGATCTCAGAGCAGCTCCAGAACCATGTGTGCTGGTATCAGTGCACAAACCCTCTCAGAGAGCTCCTGGCCGGACGTTTTGTGACAATGTCTCCACAAAAGGAGGAAGAAAAGGGGATTTTAATTGTCCTCTAAATAACTGACAAGCATCTGCACACCAGGCTCAGGAGGCCTTTTGCCTCCTACTTCTCTGCCTTTGCTCCTCTTATCACCTGTGGTTAAACCTCAAATATTTGCTCAAGACCTTGGCAAGTTTTCCAGCACCAAGGAGTGGCAAAAGTGCAGCAAACACCAAGCCCAGATGTCATGCAAGCCAAGATCCTCTTCTCCTCCTCTCCTCTCCTCTCCTCTCCTCTCCTCTCCTCTCCCTCTCCCTCTCCCAACAAGCAGACTCTCATGAATGCATCTCCTGTTGCTGCAGCATCTGTCATGTTTAAAGCTTCCTCGTGGTCTCCACTAGACAAGAATAAACCCCTCTTGCCTCTCTGGGCACCATCAGTCCCTGCCAGCCTCACATCAGCTGGTCGTGTTTGCAGGGAACTGACGCCTTCAACAGCAAGGAGAGGGTGGGAATTACTCAGAAAGCACAGGAGGTCCTTGCAAGGGCCTCCCTGGCCCGGCCAAGGGGAGGAAAGGGCAGTAGGAGCTCAAGGGGAGTGTCTGTTGGGCTGTCAGGCAGAGGTGCGTGCCACGGCATGGGCACAGGGCTGGAGCGGGAAGAGGTGTGTGAACTGAGCAGCAGGAGGAAGTTTGTGTAAAAAAGAAGAGCTGTAAATGAAAACGAAAGCTGAAGCAAGGCTTTTCCCACTGAATTCAGGGCCAGCTTTCCAGATGTTCAGTTCCATGCTTGGAGCCAGATTTTCCAAAGCACTAGCACACTACCTGCTCAGGACTCCAGGCCCTGAGTGATGCCTGAGGGGAGGCAGAGGAATGGCTCCAGGCACTGAGCAGTCAAAGCAGAACTTGCCCTATGCCACAGAACTTTATCTGCAAGGCCACCCTGTCCATCCCAGGGAGAAGCAGGGGCAGCATCTGCCCTGGAATTGCCTGGCTCCAGCATTGCTGCTGCCCCACTGGAGCACCAGGACCCTCACACACACTGACCCTGCAGTCCTTGTGTTTTTTCATGCCTTTAGCGTCCTCTCGCTTGACCTTCCTCTAGAAAGAGGCCTGGGGACAGATTGTTAAGGTATTTCCATGTGTAAAGACAGGGACGGGCAATAAGGCTTTTGGGGATCAGGATCAGGATCAGCTAGGCTGTATCTTCATGCACCTCAACCACCCCAGACCTGTCCCTTGGCACTCCAGGATGCAGGCAGCAGGATGAAGCATGCTGTGTGCTGGGGCTGCTCTTTGCATGGTGTGCTGAGCAGCTAAAATGGGCAGAGGAGCTCAGGCAGGAGTGCTTGGATCAGGAGCAGCACTCAGAGCAGAGCCTGGATTGCAGGGATGACAAGGAGGAGTTGCACAAGGGTTCACCTAAGGCATGTGAGCAGAGGGGGCTGGTATGTGCTGCTGGTGCCTTGCCTATGCCAGGTATGCTGCCTGAGGAGTGCACAAGCCCTGGATAAAGAATTTCCCTGGCAAAGTGATTTGGAACATGTAAATGGGCTGGTTGTGTAACACTGGGTACCTTAGCCCAGGGCTCTGGAAATCTGGCTGCAAACCCTTGTGCTCCCACAGGTCAAGTGTGACCATGGGAAAGGCTCCACTGCCCTTGGGGGAATGGGGTGAGCAGGGTCCTCACTGGCACCCAGAGCCTGACTCTAGGCACGGATGGTGACAACTGGGATCAGGAGTTTTCCAAGAGCTACAAGTCCCTTTTCTAATGAGAATTGTTTTCTCCAAACACAAGGAAATAAACATCAGGTTGAATTAAAGGCTATTTTCCCTGTTTCCTTCTGGATCTGTCTGAGCCAGCTGGACACGAGGTGTGTCAAAATTGATCAGACCAAGGCCATGGAAACATGGGAGCTGGGCACAGCCTGGATGCACAGCCTGTCCTCCTGCTCCTTAACATGGAGTGCTGATGTCAGGCAACAGTCCCACATGCTGATCCCACTGGGGACATCACCACTGCCCATTTCCAGCGCCCCCAGGAGCACAGGACCTCATCCTGCCTGTGGGCACAGGTGTGTGCCCGACCTCTGCCCTGGGCTCCACTGCCTCTGGCAGAGGGTTTTCACCAGGTCTGAGCTGTGCCAGTTCCACCACCTGAGCGGTGCCTTAGCCTCACCTATTGCCTCTGGGTCCTGTTTCTTGGTGGCAGCAGTGTCACCCTGAGCAGCAGTGTCACCCTGAGCAGCAGGTTGGGCTGCATCCTTCTCCGGCATGCCCGGCAGCAGCTGGAAGGTTGGATCAATTTCTAGGATCAGCTGGTTGAGAGATTCTAGGGATATGTCCAGGCAGGAAGACATCGAGTGAGCCTCGGGATCCGTGCTGGTGTGCTCCTCCTTTGACTGGCACGGGGCAGAGTGTCTCTCCAAGGAGGGATCCTGCTGCCCCTTGCCCTGTGTGTGAGCAGCCACGTGCTCCAGCCCAGGCTGGGCTCTGTACAGGCCTCCCCCAGAAAGCAGGTGAGCCTTGGGGTGCACCATGGAGGGTGGCTCAGCCCAGGCCTCTGTGGAGTAGTAGACATACTTCACTGGCAGCGAGGAGCAGCCTGGATACCCCACCTGGCGCAGGCTCTGCCTCTCCTCCGGTGAGCAGATACACACAGTCTGGCCAACATGCAACACGTGGCTCTCTATGACCTGGGACATGCTTTGGTTTTCCGCTTTGACAGCTTAGAGTCCAAGGGAAATCTCCTCCTCCTCCTTCTTGCCTCCTTCCTCCCGTAGGGACCTCAGACCCGTCTTCAATCGGCGTCTCTCCGTCGAGGAGGAATCTGAGGAATGCAGAGAGGAGCGGTTACACAGGCATGCCCCGGGCAGGAGCAGACTTCAGCGGAAAAGTCTATAAAATCAGGGATTTGGAGCGCAAAGCTGGAATTCAGCTCATAAGAAAACAAGTCACCCCCGTCCTGCTCTTCCACCCCCTCCGGCCTCTGCACCCAGTGCCACAGCGCGGCCGGGCAAGCTCACGGAGTGCTCATTGGCAGGAGCTTTGGGGGATTCAGAGGGCTAAAGACAACACTCGGCTTTATTTGCTTGTTTTCTGGGTTAAGAATGAGGTGAAGCCTCACTCCAAGAGCCTTGCCATGGGACCTGACCCTCGGAAGGCATCCGAGGGCAGCGAGCGAGCCTGGAGCTCCGCAGGGCAGAGCTGGAGTGCCTGCCAGGGCAGTGTCCTGCCCTGGGTGTACAGCTAATCCAGGATTTCGTTTTCCTGGTACGAGGCGAGCCTGGAGCCTGTGTACGTGGCTGCTGCCTCAGTCATGGCGCTGCTCAAGGAATCTCACTGCTAATACCTTCTCAATACTATCTGGCTTTGCTTTAGACAGAAAGGATTCTTTAATCCTCTGTTATAACCCCCCACGGCAGGACTTGGGCTTCTCTTGGGGTCTGGGAGAAGGGTCTCAGGACACTGTTTAGAGATAGGGAAAGTTGTCCTGCTGCATCAGCCAACAAGTGGGATCCCCTTGGCTGCTGCTCCCCTCCTGCTCGGAGGTTACTGTCCCTCAAACACAGAGAGACCCTCACTCCTTTGGCTTGGGATAAGGACAACAACCCTGTCCCACTCCATACCCACTGTGGCAGCCAAGCCCCAGGGTGTTGGGGACAGCACATTCCCTGTGTCCACATGGGAATGGACCTGTCCCCTCTGGTCCCCGGGAGGGCAGTGCTGCTGGGTCCACAGGGTATCCAGCAATCCAGAGCCAAAGCTTTGCTGGCAGGAGTCAATCCCACGGCTCATTGCTCCCTCTCCACATCCTGTGCGGATCTGCTGTGTGACACACACCCACAGTGGGCTACACTTGATGAAGTATTTGCCCTTTCCTGCATCAATCTCCAACGACAGACTTATTTACTCGCCTATCCCGGGCTGATTAACGGTGGAGTCACAGGATTAGGAGCTAGACACGTTGCCCTGGGGCAGACGGTCCCTAAGCCCCGTGGGCGAGGGAGGGAGCTGGGCTGGAGCCCTGCGTCAGCCTGCTAATCAGTGACTAATTGCCTTGCCAGGTGTTGAGAGCTGGTGCAGAGGTGGCTCAAAGCAGCCCAGCTTTGCCCTGGCCGAGTTATATAACCCTGGAAAAGCCTCACCTCTTGCTGGAGAAACACCCAGAATAGCCCAGGCTCATGAAGATTAGGGAATTAGAAGCAAAACATCACTGCTGTCTGCTGCTGCTGTCAGCACACGGCCGCGGGCACAAGTCACGGCAGGTAAAGCTCTCTCCAGGGCTTCTCAGAGTGCTAAGGGCTGCAGGAGTGAACAAACACCTCAACCCCATTTAGCATCCTGCCAGCACAGCCCCTGTGGTGTCTCCTGAGCCACTCATTGCTGTTATTTACAGGACTGGCAGGTCAGGCTGTAGGAAAGGCTCAGGAGCAGGGATGCGCCTGCACCAAGGACTGTGCTGCAGGGTGGGAAACACCTCTGGAGTCTGGATTAGACAGGCCCAGGGCATCTCTGGACTCTAACTAATTAATCCTGTGCTCTTGGAGCCAGGTCTGCTCCAGTCTGGAGAACCTATGGAGAATCAGCTGTGAAGGGATCTGTCAGAGACTGGTGGACAGGTAGGTGAGGGGCTGAAGGTGGTGGGATCCCTCCCATGACCACAGCAGTGCTGCAGACCAGCAGCTGTGCAGCCTGTGGTGCCCTCCTTGCCAGCTGTGCCATGGCTGGCACCTGTGTGTGGCCCTTCCTGGGCATTTCTGGACCCCAGCCCTGAGGTGCAGTGGATGCAGAAGGTGGTGGGACCCCAGGCCCCTTTCTCCCACCAGCAGCTGAGCTGGCTATGCCTGCAGAGCCTGTGTCATCTCTGATCGGGTCACAGCATGCCCACCCTGGTCTCCTGCCTCAGAGCACTGTGCCCTGACACTGCCAGCTCTGCTGTGGGTCAGATGGATCCCAGGTAAGCAGGATGCCCACCCTGGTCTCCTGCCTTGGAGCACTGTGTGCTCTGACACTGCTGTCTCTGCGTGAGAAGTGCAGTGTGGTACAAGGCTCAGAGGGAGCGTTTGTTAAATATAAAAGGAAGAGTCATTCCAGGTCAAAAACACAAGCGAGATGGAGTGAAAATTGGATTCTCCCCTGGGGAGAAGAGCTGCCTGGCTGCAGTCAGCGCCCGCAAGACAAGGCTGGTTTTAATTTGAGTAGGTACAGAAATAACGTGCAGGATGCATGAACCAGGGCTGTCGGGGCTTCCAGGAGCATGCACGCAACAGCTTCCCTCCTCTCTTGTACTCCTGCCCTGAGTTTTTGATCTTTCTTATGCCTGATGCTGCCAGAATTAGCCTCCAAACCTCATTTCTCCTCCCTTCCCTTCTCTGGGTTGAAGTGAGAGGTCTCCCAGGCTCCTCACAGGAATGCTGAGCCTCAGCCACAGGCTCTTGGAGGAGCAGAGGAGAAGGGCTGAGGTGAAGGAGGTGAATCACACGGTGGCTGTTGGCCACCAGTGTGCTGCAGCTGTGGGACCAGCAAACGCTGCCCACAGACATCAGGACTTTCCAAGAGCAATGGGGAATGACAGTGTCAGCTGTGCCCCCCGGGCAGGGAAGAGGGGCTGGGCATGGGCACAGAGCCTGTATCATACACATCCACACTGTGCCACGGGTGATGCCCTTGGCTCCGTGGCAGCAGCAGAGTGAGCTCTGTGACAGGAACAGGGCAGCCCTGGCACTGCAGCCTGGCTGGGCTGGCTCAGCCGGGTCTGGGAGATCTACTGGCTGTGTGGAAACACCTGGGAAGGAGCTTTGTTGTTTGAGCTAAGACAAGGCAGGCACAAAAAGAGATGGAAATAAGCTGGCACAAACACATCCAGGATGGAAATGACAGAGTTTCTGCTTGTGGAAGAAGCCTGTGGGACAGAATTCCTCCTAAGATGAAGGGAACAAGTCACAGATTTCAGATGCAGATGGACACTCCTAGACAGGTTCTTGGTGAAGCAGCTCCAAGAGACCCAGCTCATGGGACAGGAGCTGCAGCCTAGCCCAGCACAACCCCAGGTCTCCCCTCCACCTCCAGCCCAGCCTGGCAGGCAGCCCACCATGAAAACAAAACCCCCCAACAGGAAAAGGAGATGTGGGGTGCCAGGCCTGGGACTGGGGCCACAGGGAGCTGGTTAGAAGGGCTGCAGGGTGCTCCTGGGTGCGGTGGGAGCAGCAGGGTGCCCTGAGGCCAGGGCTGTGCCGACACACCCGGCGGGAGATAACCACCTGCATGCCCTTCCCAAACCCAGGCACAGCCCGTCCCAGCCTGCAGCGCCATGTGGGCCAAGCCCGAGGATCCACGAGGAGCAAAGTCCCTCTTGCTTTGTCTGCTGGAGCTCAGAGGGATCCGTGGGACCCCCAGCCCCTCGCTGGCTCTGCCCTGGCATCGGCAGATGGGGCAGGGAGAGAGCAGAGCTGGCAGCTCTGTCTGCCCTGCAGCATCCCCTGGCAGCTGCCCGCAGAGCCCTGGGGCTCTCAGCACAGTTATTTGGAGCTCAGACACACGAGCTGGGATGTAGCCTCCCTCATTCCCTGTCTGCACAGACCCCAAAACAGCTCAGCCAGCTGCCAAGTCTGGCTGTTTTTCCTTGCAACATGAGCCCTGGGAGCCTCCTGATGACAAGCCTATTACACATCCCCTTGCCAGGAAGGGCAGAGGGAACTGCTGGGACACCCAGGATTTCCAGAGCTCATTACACCCAGCTTAATCACTGCGGGGTGACTTTCCTGGTTTAGCAGGGTATGCTGAGGGGGTTGAAGAAGAAAGTTCCCATGGTTATGCTGTTTTGCCTGCAGAGCAGTGAGAGCTGTGGGATCACATGGCAGATATTAATATAGCCTCAGCTCTGGGGGAGTGCAGCACCTGGGGCACGAGGCAGCTGGTGCTGGGGGAGAAAGAGAGTCTGTCAGACAGAGCCTCCTCCCTTGCTCAAACATGAGCAATTAGAAAGTTCAGCAGCAAGAAGAAGTGTTTATGATATCTCAGGCAGCATCTTGGTGTCTGCTCAGCCCCCAGAGCATCGATGTGACCAGTGCCAGAGGAGGATGCTTTGCTGGGACAGTGAGAAGCTCTTCAACACAGCCCAAGAGCATCCACAGCAGAAGTCACCACCCCCAG